CCTTTCACGGCACCACAGGGACCCGGACCTTTGGAAGGCGTACGAGGAGCCGAAGCCAACTCGCAGAGGCCCGTTGAACAGTTTTAATCTAAATGTGATGGGACATCAGCCGGCAATTATCCCTGTAATCCCTGTATGCACTATATAAGTGCACCCAAGGGCAATCCTCAAACCAAAAATATTTATTATTATGATTATAATATGCAGAATATTATTATTATGATAATATGAAGGATAAAGGTTTATTATCCTTCATATATATGCAAGCAAAAAGTGTTTCGGTAGCTTAAAACAAGGTGGCGTCACTTAGTAGTTACACTATCTAGCCGATAGATGTCGCTAAACTTAATTTTGGAGTAAGTGTTAAAAATTATATTCTTTTTATTATTATTGTCATTTTGGTACCTTCTGTTCTTTCCTTTGAATGAGTAGGTATCTGCGAGTGAGTACCTAATGCAATTATTCAACCCTCTAGAAATTACCAGTCAAACTCTATATTGAGACGAGACCTAAATTACTCTAAAGACAAATTGATCAACTCCTGTGAACCCTGTGATTTTTTGTAGTCAGTTGCGTGATCTTTTCTTTAGAATAAAGGTGTTAGAACCTCCTTTATAAGGAGCTCATAATCTAGTATTTGAAGACTTAGTGCCATTTTTGTATGTTGGTCTGCAGAATGAAGTCGTCTCCTCAACAAAAACCTAATGCCATAATCATCATCCATCACAAATAAAAAAGTAATGCAGTTATAAAATTAATTACCTCTGTAAAGTACCTTCGTCGAACTATGGCCAAAATTTTGACTACCAATCAATACATACGTATACTTACGTAAGTGAAGTCTTTATTTTGGAAGATCTCGTGATTTATTTAACACTAGTGGGACGTCCCTCGATAACAAGGAACATATTACTTACATTACTCTCTCATTTTTTAATATTTTCTTGCATATGAACGAGTTGCAAGTTTGTGCGTTTACCTGCCCTTTGAGGAATCAGGTATGAGAATAGGGAAAGGATTAGGCCCTCTGTAAGTTCACAGACAGCGAAACACAACGCTGTAGTTCGGGAATCGAAAGACGATCTCCGGCCACAATAAACGCGGCTCTGCGGACGGCGAGACGAGTAAGGCTAGCTCGCCGCCCGAACAGATCCAGACCCGAGCGTACGTTCCGCGCGCGCCTTACAGAGCCAATGGACCACCACAGACGGGGCCCTATAGGGCTGATGTTCAACCGAGGTTGCGGGGCAAGCGCAATAAGGCACCGCGGCCTCGGCCCAGACCAATATAAGGAACCGCAGGGTTTTTAGTCGATAGTCTGACACTTTCTCCCGTCCCACCACACTGGGCGGGAGAAGTCATTTGATGATTTCCGCTCACCAAAAATTCAAGTAAGTTTTATGTCGAGCCGATCCAAAAAAAATTTAAATACTAGTACCTGCGCGTAATAGTAACTGAACAAGATGTCTGAAATAACTGCTATGTCATCGTATTAAAGATTTATATACCACAAATGTGTAACTCTTATCTGTCTACATATAAGATTATTGTTTTGCTGTAATCAATCCTCAGATAATGACAATACGGAGCATTTTTGCTCACGAGACGAATGTTTGTTTTTATTGTCTGTTGTACCTATAAAGATCATTTTATCACGGAATTTTATTCAATGCTATCAAAATCAAAATATTTGTCGTGACCGCGGAGTTTTGCTGTTGAACTGTCGATTCATCTTCATAAAAACAATTTGGAGTTACATTATTATATGTATTGTGTACAATCAATTAGATCTTTAATATACTGGCTGAGCGTCTTAGCTTCCAGATAGCGTATTAAGCGCAATTAATGTAAGCCGGGCCCAGCCTGAAGCAGAAGAAGGAAGATGGGTGGTTTTTAGTATAACAATCACTCCTTCTTTCCACACTCAGTGGCGGTGGTGGTGGGGTAGGTTAGTCAAAGAATGATTTTCCCCCTCAAATAAAAAAAGGCCTTAGTTTAGAAGCCACTTTAAGACTTAGATAACAGCCTTAGGGTGCTGAACTACTTACAAGAAAAAGGGGTTTTAATGGGTGGCGGGAGACCGGTAAGGTTTTAGCCGAAGTTGAGCCGTTGAGCTTGCAAGTCCCATAATGTAGGTATCGCTGCCAGCTTGGACCAAGAGAAGGAGCGCAGTGGTTTTTAGTCAGTACGAAACTGAAACTTCCTCTAAGTCATAAGATGAATTTTCAACTAACAGATTTGTTCTGTAAATAATCAACCGTTGAATTTTAAAAATCAATAACAATTGAGACTATTTAGTCGTAAATACTTACTTAGGAGCTCAGAATACAGAACAATCTGTATTCTGAGCTTAGGAGTGAGGGCAAAGGATTTTTTGCTAAATTTTTTTGAAAAAAAATTCTTAGTTAGGTACTTCAAAATACGCGTCAATAGACTTTGGCAATGTCAAAACAACTTTCTCTAATTACTGTTATCAAATCCAATTCCAAAATAGAATATTACGTTTGTTCAAGTTCAACAACCAATTTAAATATCGAAACGTATGAGAAATAATTTGTTTCTTAATTCAAATAAATTTAATTGTACTGTAATACTAGTTCAGTTGCCATGCGTCACTTTTGATTAAACATTAGACAATTCAACCTTTTTTTACTTATGTATTTCCTAGTCTTTTTTTTAAAACGCTTTTATAAGTCGACCTATAACGAACTATGTATCTGTGTAGTGAAATCTAGGAAAATTACACAAAATTCGAATTATTTTCTTTTGTTCATCGTATCATCACGAAACTTGGCAATTGGGTAGTTTCCTAGGTCAAAAATAAATTAATTCGACGTTTCAATAGAATAAAATATTGAAAAATAACTATAAGTAGTTACTGCTATTCATGATCGATCGATAATTCGATACACTGACTGAGTTTTAGATATTTTTTAGCAAATTTTTAAGAAATAAGTAAACTATTTGGCGCAAAAAAACGATGACATCATAACTCAATTTTTCATACTTACTTTCATATAAAAATATCGTTTTTGACATTTGGATAAAAGTATTGAATTTGAATAGTTGGAAACTACCGTATTGTATGATAGGTGAGATGACCATACAATATTATGGTACCAGTGAGTTGGTTTGATGATGAAAACTTGGGCTATCCAGATGTAAACACTATTATGGAGTAGAGTTTCGTTAGATTATGTCCTTTTGATAACAAGACGAATATAGTTAAAAGCTTGTCAAAAAATATTTTTTGTGATCAACCACAACAAATAAATAATGCAGATAAGTAAAAATAAAAAAGAAACGCTTGTAAAAAAAAATCTTACTGAAAAAAAAGTTGTAGGTATTAACTACAGAGTTTTTATTTAAAAAAAGATCTGCGGATCTGTTTCTACGGACAAAAAACTAAACGTTATTACCGTACAGCAATTGTTTTTAAATACTGAATTATTTATATTTTACTAATACATTTTTTAACATAATTTTTATTAGGCCTATTCTATATTATATGGTCATGATAAAAACTATAACGTACTTATACGAATTTGCTATCTAAATAAATTCAAATTCTTTCATAAATCTTCCAATACGTTTTTAAATTATTCTATTATCTATGGTCAGGTCGTTTACCTGTAGCGTATGTACATAGGTACGTATGTATATCTAGATACATATATAGAGGATCTTCAAGTATTTTGTATTACTTAATAATATAATTTGTGTAACACAAGGTCGATATCGCACCTATATTAAAAGCAACATTTAGTTAAAGTGGTTTATTTTTTAAAGGATCTCATTGGTGGCGGTGTTTTAACGAGAACCGTGCGTGCGTTGTTGAGGTGTAGCAAAAAAAAAAGAAAAAAATACTAAAATTTAAAAAAATATTTGAAGATTTTTTTTTTCAACAAGGTATGTATCAAATTAAATTTTTCATTTTTTTTTATAATAATGTCATAACTATAAAATTTATTTTACAAATTTAAACAAATTAAACGTAAAAAAAAGTAAAAAAAAATACAAAAAATAAATAACCAAGAAAAAATTTACAAAAAGAGATAGTGGCCCATGAGGGGATCGAACCCGCGACCTTCGCGTTATTAGCACGACGCTCTAACCAACTGAGCTAATGGGCCGATATGTCACATGACGAAATAGACCACTACGTTCGTTTTATTTACTATGGATATAATTCTAACATTGGAGTTTGAACTTCGTATATTGAATTAACGTCATAATGAGTTGACTTCTAAAAATAGTGTTATGAAGACGATGTACTATATAGTTCTGTGATAAATATAGTTTTGTTATATCTATGTATAGATTCTGTTGTAAGATTGTCACGAAGTCAGTTACGTATTGTGAGGAAATATACCGTTGACCGGGTTGCGTTCGTGTGTTGCTTCTTTTGTTAGTAAAAGGATTTTCCATACTGTTTTTTTTTTTATAGGTCAGTGGTTAGAACTTAAATTGAACCCCATTGCATAAAAAATAATTCATGACTAAAAACATTGCAAAAAACATTGGCACATCTCCTTTATCTATATATTCTTTAAAGGAAATACTTAGCTATACTTAAATTGTATGAAAAAAAAAGTAAAAAAAATCCTCATAAAAAAACGCTAATAAATTTTTGCGTCTTTTACCTAAACGTTTTGGGGATAAGGGAGGGATTTGGGGATAATATTTGTGAAATGGGACATCAGCCGGCAATTCTCCCTATATGCACTATAAAAGGGCACCGAACAATAATTCCCGGTTGATGCAGGACTATCTATTTAATAATTTATTTATTTAATAATTTTTGTACACACAGTAAGTTGGACAAGAAAAATAATACAACAATTAGGTACAAAGGCACAGCTTATCGTGCAATATGGTAGAAAATTATATGGATATGTGTAGTATGGACTTAACCTGTCTTTTTTATTACTCTTTGAATACGGATGCAAGAAATAAAAGCCTTTTTAATGTATAAATGATGTACTTATTATGCATTCCAGCCACGATGCTGTGGCAGCCTGTCAATCTGACAGAAGCGTGTCCTGCCCAGGCACAGCTGTCTTCTTGTACACCCTTCGGCTTCATTTTCCTGAACCTAGTGGCCCAGCTCTACGGAGGATCGTATGACGCGAGGGTTCAGGTATTGTTACTCTAATATTATAAATGCGTAAGTAACGATGTTTGGATGTTTGTTATTCAATCACGCCAAAACGACTGGATGGATCTGGGTGAAATTTGGCATAGGCATAGGTTACACTCCGGAATAGGACATAGGCTACTTTTTGCCAATATACCGCGCGGGCGAAGCTGCGTGCGGAAGCTAGTGTTTAACTATTTGATAAAGAGTAACCATGGACTTTCTAGCTCGTCCTTCTTTTGTTTTTTAGGGCGGCAAACTAGCAGACGGATTACCTGATGGTAAGCAATCAGCGCCGCCCATGGACACCCGCAGGAGTTACGAGTACGTTTCCGTCCTTTTCGGGCTTTGGAGGTTTAGGGATTGGGGGAGGGGAGGGATGTGGTTTCACGGAACCTGAATCAGAACAAACAACGCTGTGGTTGTTTCACACCCATTTTCTGTGACGCCGTTGGATCATTCCGGTCTAGCCGACCGATTCGTGTGGAAGCATGGCTCTTCCACGCTGAATTTCGATTCCAAAATTTCTCCATAGGAATCTACACTTTGGAACGAGCAAATAGATTCACTAAGAGACTTGACTTTCAAAAGTGCCTGTAGATAAGAGTCTTATTGAAATAAATGATTTTGACTTTGGCAGGCAAGGAGAGAAAGGGGACAATGCTATAATGATGAGATTGAACCGAGAGAAGAGTATGATTTTATAGTGGTGGGCGCTGGTTCCGCAGGATGCGTTGTCGCTAATCGATTATCTGCTGTCGAAGATTGGAAGGTGAGAGTCACATCACTATTTTTTATTTAATGGTAACGTTGATCGTGAACGTTAGGTAGGTTTCACTAAATTTATTGCAAACTACAACAAAATCTCGCGCGGTTTCACCCGGAGCTCCATTTTATACCCTATAGCACTCAGGAACATTGTAGCTATCTATCAGTGAAAGAATTTTGGCAATCCGACCAGCGGTTCCAAAGATTACCCCCTACATACAAACTTACAATCATAGAAACATATAAATTTTACCTCTTTATAATATTAGTATAGGTAACGACTATCTCACGTGTATCTATTAACTGAGAACTAAGCTCAACTAGTTTCAAGTCCCAGCGGGACTCTTCTTCATGTGACGCATTGAGACACATTGGTTGGTGTTGAGTAAATCTTTATTTTTAATTAATTTTAAAATTTTTTTAGATATTTATAATTGCATTAAAAATTAAAATCGATTCAGCTGTTTGCGAAAAATATTGGAGCGAATCAAATCAATTGGTTGCACTACGTATTATTAAATTTGACGAGATTATTTAACTGTAATTAGAAAAGTAAGTATCAAAGAGTATACGATTAAGTACTTAAACATTAATCGTTATTATTTCGAACGAGTACAATATTCCGGTACTTAGGTATAAGTATCAACATTAGTAAAGTAAACTGTATCCCTGACTGAGCAATTTAATCCGACCTCCTTACCTCCTTACCTTGGATATCTAAGTCTTGAAGTATTGAATATAATTATAACCGTAATTTAATGAATGATAATGGATAAATGGCGAATACAACACGCGACTCGTGTGATGCACTAAGTACTTAAAAAAAAATTCCACACACTTCCTCATAAAGTGGCTTTAATCCCATTGGCTATTACGATTTTTTTTTATTAGGTAGTGGTGGAGTTACGCTTACACTTGAGCGAAAATACCTACCATCCGTGAAAAGCCAAAAAAAAGAAACGTCATTTTTTACTCTATGACCAACGCGCGCTCATACTGAATCTGAGTATTTTTCCCGCCATTACGAACAAACATTTTTCACTGTAGAAGTTTTTTTTAGTATTATTTTATTTAGAAGTGTGTTGAAAAACGATGATACGCGTGTGCATTGATGATTACCGTCCTTGGCTCCTTATGACCCTCACCTGACGACTCGGGCTTTAATGCGTCTAAGCGGTAATCACCAACATTACACACTTGTACCAAGACTTGGACCATAATAATCCGAACTATATATTTTATATTATAAAGGCGAAAGTAACTCTGACTGTCTGTCTGTCTTTTCTCCACGCCTAAACTACTGAACCGATTTCTTTGAATTGTGGTACTTACAGACATGTGGTTTGTAACTCGAAAAAGTTTATAGGTAATCGTTATTATACCATAAAATCTGCAAGAAGTCGCTATTCCACGTGAACGAAATCGCAGGCAAAAGCTAGTAGTGTACTACATATAATAACATTAATTTAGGTACAAAGAAAAATACGATACGAAAATGTAGCTGTGTAATGTATCCTGTTCAAATTTAACGTTTAAAAAACGGTATAAATAAGATTGTAATTGTACCTAATGATTTAATTCGCCGCGATACCTAATAATTTACGAGCGAAACGATAAATATGTTTAACTTTAATGTTGATGTTTTAATGAATCGTAATCTTGTAGGAAATTGTTTAAAACTATAATTTAAGTACTGATTACTTACGTTTAGTTTGACTTTTTTCATTTGTATTCGTTTAATAATTAATAATTTTAAAGTGCGATTAGGTAACAAAGCTAAAGTAGGTGCAAAAAAAGCAACTGCTTGGTTTTTGTATAATCCTAGCTATAAAAATAAAAGGTCGTCGGATTTTCAAAACAGCAGCGCTTAAAGCGATAGCTCGACTATAATACGCAAATCAAGAATAATTTATAACCTATAGCACTCAGGACTACCCCCTACTATAATACAAAGTTACAAATTTTACCTCTTTATAATGTTAGTATTATACAATTTAAACTCTACGGACGCGTGGTCCGTGCCTTTGTCATACAATTTTTTTTTATGTGATAGTACGGCAAACGAGCAGACGTATTACCTGATGGTAAGCAATCAGCGTCGCCCATGGACACCCGCAACAAAGAAGGAGTTACGAGGGCGTTGCCGACCTTTTAGGGATTGGGATTTTGGGGATTTTTTTTTTATTGATTATAGGTTCGCGCTTGACCGCTATCTCACCTGATGGAAAGCGACGATGCGGTCGACGATGGAGCGCGCTTACCTAGAAGTAACCTATTCACTCTTGACTTAAAGATTGTAACTATCAGGAAACACCGACTCCGGCAAGGAATTCCACTCCTTGGCTGTACCATAGACTAATAATACACTAATTATTAGTCTATGGCTGTACGCATAATAAATGTGCTCCCAAAACGTTTTGTACGTATATGTGGGACATCCACCATGTACCGGTGGCGCAATGCCGTACGTCTGGTGGTCCGATGATGGAACGGGGATTCAGGGATTGGGAAGGGAAAGGGGTAGGGGAAGGATTGGGCCTCCGGTAACCTCACTCACGCGGCGAAACACAACGCTGTGGTTGTTTTACGCCGGTTTTATGTGAGGCCGTGGTATAACTCCGGTCGAGCCGAAGCATGTCTCTCCCACACGTAACGTTCTTATTCTAGTATTTTTTTTTATAAAATACAGATGTTACAGACTACAACTAGGTATGTAACCAAAAGTATATAAAAACTACCTACGAGTTACAATTTTTTTCTACAACAATACAACCTAATTTTATATTTCCATTTATCGACGGCTCTACTGAATCAGCCCACCAACACGCTGGGTGAGCCGACCTGCCCTAGCAGTCAGCCATTTTGTGGACCACAGCGCCACCATAGGACATTTTTGAACGCATGACGTCACAGCACAGCCTACGTGACAATGAACTGACTCCAGCAGAAACTTCCATGATGTCTAAAAGTTAATTTCTTATTTAAAATACGACCGTTTATTAACTACATAACGTTCTTAAATTCGAATTTTTACTACTATGTGCAGGTCGACTCTTGCTTAAAAGCCTAGTCACAACTGGCCATTAAAACAAGGGTCGCTCTTGTATGGTCCCAGAGAAAAAATATTATCAACAGATTTTTTATTGACATATTTGGCCAGTAACTCTTTTTAATAATAGAAACAAAAGAGGTTGCAATTTCTAACGCTTGGAATACTTACCTTACCTCTTTGGAATACTTGAAATAATGACAATTAGCAATGCGTCAAGTGTTTCCATGCTAAATTGCTACGTGATTATTAGTGTATATTTTGAAGTATACCAACACATCTACATTAGTGACTATTTTCAAGTATTTACGTACTTAGTCATAGTTCAATAGTCTGAGATCGGTGTACCATATCGACGATGAAATTACAAGAGCTACTAAGTGTCATTTTTGCGATTTTACTTTTTCCTTTTACATACATAGACTTAAAAAATCGTTTGCATGAGCTGACAATAATAGCAACTAACAATAGCAATTAAAAAAAAGTTGTAAAAAGAGAAAATGTATTAAACCAGCCTGGTCGAGTCCTGTGAATTTAATTTCTAAAAATGATTCTTCCGATTCCAGGTTCTGCTGTTAGAAGCTGGAATAGAACAGCCAGACGTAACCCTGGTGCCTGGCCTGGCGACGACCCTGCTAGGGTCTAACATCGACTGGAGCTATGAAACGGAACCCAACGGCAAGAGTTGCCTGGCACGCCCCGGACAATCCTGTGGATGGCCCAGGTAATGAGTTCTCACAATCCAGATAATTCTCGTGACCCTAAAATGTCGGCAATGCCCTCATAACTTCTTGATGTTGAGTCCATGTGCGATCATTAGGTGGTATAAAAAGACACGTACCTACACAATAAATCAATTGTCGTCTTGAAGATAACGGAAGAATTAGTGATTGTCATAAGAAATATTGGCTGGTTTTGCCTGATTTCGATATTTAAATATTTGAGAAATTCTCAGAATTTTTACGTAAAAAAACGTCGAATTTATGTACCATACATAGAAGGCAATGAAAAGTATTTCGTTGACAGATCACTTAGTCAGCTTCAAAGTACAAAATAAAAACATTTTCGTCCACCACACAGAACTTAGTAACTTTACTGAACTTATCCCTAGTTCGATTGATTCTACCAAATAAACCATTCGAAAAGCATGCCAAAAAAAATGGCGAAAAGAAAATATTTGCATGGTAACCGCCAACAGATTACGAGATAAAACTGTCATTATCCACCATAATTTTCCAATAACCAAATTACTTTCTGACTAAACCAATTAGTTTTACCTAAAACGAACATTATTTAACAATATAAGGTACTCGGTAAAACCTCGTCACAAGCGCTGATAACTGCACGACAGATCACTTATCCCGATTAAATTTTACGCAATATTTATTTGTTATCTGTAATATCTGATGGTTCGCGAATTCGATTTGTCGCTCGCCCTTGCCTCGCTATCTATGTAAACATTCCACGTAGCATACGTAGCGTTATCTTATCAGTTTCTAATGTTACTATGCCAGGTAATTACGTTTTAATTCCAACTGTATTGTAGTATTCCGAGCGTACGGCGCGTAGCGTTCCGCGCGCGCCTCAAAGAGCCAACAGACCACCACAGACGGGGCCCTAAAGGCCTGATGTTCGGCCGGGGTTGCGGGGTAAGCGCAATGAGGCACCGCGACCTCGGCCCAGAGCAGGACAAGGAACAAGGGGGTTTTTAGTCAGTAAGAGTCTGACACTCCCTCCCGACCGGCCCTGGGCGGGACAAGTCATTTGATGATTTTCCCCTGACAAAAAAAAATAACTGTATTGTAGTATCGAAGTTTGTATATCAGCTGATCAGGTTTTATCCTGTTCGGTGCCTTTCTTTGCTTTGCTATGCTTGTTCAGTCCTGTTGACTATCAGTATCCTAGTCTTCATTATCGTTGGTCAGGTAAAAATGTGTCGAGTTGATACCTGTCTATTTTCAGTTGTGACAATTTTCTCAACAGTAACTGCAGCTAGCTAAGTATCACTAGTTATATTTCTTCAAGTGACCATCTCCATAAATACTTTTTGTCGATTTATTAGACTCATTGTATAAGCACTAACTTGTATCTTACTAAATACTGTACAAGAGGCGCAAAATAGAAAATCCTTATAATTATTTGCCTTATTTTGGACAGGGATACTTATAAAATTTGTTTTTCTGCCCTGGGTGGTAGTGCGAGAGAGAAAGTGTTAGACTCTTAGTAGATCTGAAACCGAACCGAACTGTTCCTTCTTCTGATCCAAGCCAGGGACATGGTGCATTATTGCTTTACCACCAGAAACTTCAGCTGGAAATAATTCCTAGACTGGGCAATTTTTTACACCTACACCGATGATACACAGTCTCATTTACATATACATAAAAACTTCTTGCAAATTCTTGCTTTCTCTATAACGTTTTTGGCCTTAATCCTAGGCCAGCTTCTGACCTCGAACATTTCTATTTTTAACTATCGCCGTTCAGTTTCAGTGACGAAGTCATTAAAAACATACAAATTTGATTGGACTCTGATCGATTTCCTCCAACTAAATGTTACACTAAGATGCGATTCTTTAATTGGTACAAAAAAAAATACAATTTGCTTTTTCTGTCTCCATTTTGAGATGGTTTGAAATTCAAAGTCATTGCAGATAGATCATCTTAAGGCCAGAGATATCTTACTTATCATTTACCCGCATATTTAAACACCAAAATGATAAAGAATTTCATGAATTTTATCTATTTCCTAAGCTCAGTTTCATTTCTGTTCAAAGATTAATTTTACACAGAGGAGATTGTCTTGAAATCTCTTAGACCACCTAACAATTTTGTTTGAGTATGAATAGCTTCTTCGATCAATTATTGATCGAAGAATAGCATGGAATTATTAACGATTTAATTGTTTTTGACCCTTCATCTGCTCGTTGCACTGCTCTGCTCACTGCAGCTTCGGTAATCGTCTTTTGTAAATATTTGCTGTGTATTTTTAAATAGGAACTCGTTTTTGTTTTACGTTGTAAAACTCTTCAAGTTGAAAATGCAATGACGTTTTGTCCATCCTAGAGTCTTGTCACTATGTTTATGTACCTGATATCCCTTATGATAGTAGTAGCCTCTTTTTTGGGGGCGGAAAATCATTCAACGACTTCTATTCTTACGAACCATAAACCACTCCCTTCCTTCTCCTGATCCTGGCCAAGATCTGGTTCATTATTGTCCTTGCATTGGTATCGACATCGGACCTGTTGGGCTCCATATGTGCTGGTCTAGGTTCTTTAAGTCCACGTATCTCTAGGTCTAGTTCTGGTCGAGCGGTCGTATCAGCCCCTGACATAATGATTATGTCGCATTAATCAACCTTGACTGGTCCCTTTGCTAACTCACATTGACTTGCACTATTTTATTTAGGTAGATTCTCTATCGATATAATTTGGTGGCGCCGCATTATCTTAGTGCGTGATTTTTATATACATTAAAATAAATACTGACTGATAACGATGTTATCTATCTGTCTGTTGAGATATAAAAGAGTTTTCGCAATATTTCACAACGAAATAGTTTATATTTAGCTGCAAGTATTGTTTTTCAATTTACCCGTAGCATGTGATCGATCATTCTTAAGATTTCTTTAAGAAATAGTGTCACATATTCAGATGGTGCAATTATTAACTCCTTTGTAAAACGAATACTAGCGTAAGTCGTATTAAGGAAAGGGTGGAAGCGCCATGCTTCGGCACAAATGGGTGGGTCGGCTCGACCAGTGATACGACGGCCTCGCAGAAAACCGGCGTGAAACAACAGCAGCGTTGGGCCAATCCTTCCATCCTCAAATCCCTAAATCTCCGAAACCCTAATCCCAAAAAGACCGGCAACGGACTAGTAACTCCTCTGAAGTTGCAGGTGTCAATGGGCGGCACCGACTGGTTACTATCAGGTAACCAGTCAGCTCGTTTGCCGCCCGATAACAAAAATAACAAGGAAATCGTTGTGATTGTAGGGGAAAAGTAATGGGTGGATCGAGTTCCATCAACTCTCTAGCGTACGTCCGTGGTAGCAAGGAGGACTACGACGAATGGGCAGCCATGGGTAACGACGGATGGAGTTACGAAGATGTGAGCAAATTGTCTCAAAGCACTTACAATGTGGTCTTGTGACTTGCACCGTTAAAATTTTTAAAGAAAGTGGCACTTTGCACTATTTATTGGCATTATCATGTGTAAACATAACCTGCACGCTAGCATTCACTCATAGTATGTGAATATGAGATCTTTTTACTAATATTTTTCTGACAATAGTATTTTAGTATCGAAAGTATTTGGTACTTTTACTTCAATAGCATTTCCTGACTGTAAGAACGAAACACACCTTGCACCTTACCCATTTAAAAAATATAGCACAATACAACACCTAGAAACAATGACGCAATAAAATTGTTGTTGAAACTAAACTCGCTCTTATATTCCAATTAAAGGTACTGCCATACTTTAAGAAATCTGAGAGGAATCTCAACATAGAGGGACTCAACCGAAGGTATCACGGCGTCGACGGAGAACAGTATGTTTCCAGATACCCAAACGTTGATAAACCAGCCATAATGATGATTGATGCATTCCACGAAGGAGGCGTGCCTATTGGAGACTTCAATGGAGCCCATAGTGAAACTACAATGTACTCGCAATCAACATCTAAGGATGGACAACGTGTGTCTACAAATAATGCTTTCATACAACCAATCAGATATAAGAGGAAGAATTTAACGGTCAAGTCTGAAGCCGAAGTCACAAAAATACTGATAAACAAACAAAACGCAGCGTTCGGTGTCAGGTATACACTGAACGGTAAGGTCCACACAGCGTATGCTAAGAAAGAGGTCATAATAAGTGCTGGCAGTATAAACTCTCCAAAGTTACTCATGTTATCAGGTATTGGCCCTAGGGAACATTTGGAAGAGCTAAACATTCCTGTTAAGAAGGATCTAGCTGTCGGTGAGAATTTGCACGATCACGTCACCTTCAATGGTATCTTAGTAGTTTTACCGAACGGTACAGACACTAGAGTCGGTAACGAAGAAGTTTTGGAAGATTTGTATGAATATCGTGAAATGGAACACAAACATGGACCTCTTTCGAGCAATGGCCCCATTAGTGCTATAGCATTTATAAAGACTGAACCTGATTTACCAGCACCTGATATTCAATATCAAATAGATCGAGGCTTTTTAAAAGAATTTGTTCGTCAGCCAGCACTCTATGACGAAGTTGTAATATATCCTTCATCGTACTACGACGCTCTTATACCTAGAACAATGAATTTAGTTCCTAAGAGTAGAGGGAAACTGTTACTGAACCCAAAGAATCCGAACGGTAAGCCTTTGATATACGCCAATTACTTCGATGACCCGACTGATATTATACCCATAGTCAAAGGTGTCAAGTTCCTTATCGGTTTGGAGAAAACTAGAGCGTTCAGATCTATGGGGGCGTATTTTGAAAAAACTCCGTTGAAAGCGTGTAAGAACTATGAGTGGGGTACTGATAGATATATCGAATGCTTGGCGAGATCTTACACGTCGACGACGTATCATCCTGTGGGGACATGTAAAATGGGTCCTATATGGGATGAGAAGGCTGTGGTGGACCCAAGACTGCGAGTTTACGGTATATCAAACTTGAGGGTTATAGATTCATCTATCATGCCTATTGTCAACAGGGGCAACACAAACGCTCCGTCCATAATGATAGGAGAGCGAGGCGTCGCCTTTATATTAGAAGACTGGTTAAAAGATCGGGAATGTGATATTAATTATATAACTAATTATTATATAACTAATTTAGTCTACTGGTTATTATTATTGTTGATATTATAAATGACTCACTTTCACCTATGATTCATTGTTTTATTATTTAATCATTTATCGGTATTATGCATTTTTTGTTTCCATACGAAACCTACGAATGGCCTTGTCTGATAATTTTGCTGTTTCTCTGTGATGTTTGTTTGAGGGATAGTTGGGTTAACGGATGATGTCCGTATGTTAAGGAAATAACAAATCATTTTATCTTAACAATATCATTTATTTTATAAAATTTCATCTTTTTCACATGCATATTAAAAAGTATAAAATTCACAATATTTATCGCCTCGCGAACATCTCTCAATCATAATATAAAGTAGACATTTTTTCCTCTTCATGCAAATCGTATAGCAAGCCGTCATGGCAAAAATATTATATATCATCAATATCTACTATTGACAATTTACAATCAGAAATTTTATCCATTTTTTATCATTTTTTTTTCTCTCTTTTGTACGTTTTTTTCTTTTGGCAAAATTGCCCCAAGTCTATGCTCTATACATTACAATAGACAAATTTACAAGTTACAATTCAAACTTAACAAGTTAGTAAGAAATTACAAACAGTAGAACCCATTCAATGGTCAAATGTACACTGGTATAATGCAAAGTCTACTAACAGACGTAATTGTAACTACTAGACAAAAGATGGCGCTATACGCCGAAGCCGCAGCCAACATGGCCGAAATGGCAAACGAACCGCTAAGGTCGTGTATATTTTTTTTTCCAAAAACCATAATGTTTAGACGTTTTCGACGTTTTCACTTCTCAGGGAGCTTAATGACGGGTGTCTGCGAGTATCCCCAGTTCATCTCACAGTGCTCGATGAGGTCTCTCTCGGCGTCTGACAATGATGAAAAGTCGAACTCTTGACTGTCGCTAAACGGGTCTGTGTAGGGATAGTGCACGAGGACACAACTGAAGTCCATCGAGGCTCCGCATCCACCCAACAACTTCCGAATTTTAGTTTCAGAGTCAACCTGGAGACAAATAGAGAAAACATTAGTAACACGTTAATACATCAAAAGTTTGGAATGGAGCTTGGGAGGTTTTGTGCTTTATTTGCATTGTGAATTAATTAAGGTTAAGCTAAATGTACGTCACAGGGAGTTTACGTTCATAAGAACCTTGAAAAAAACCAAGAGGAAAACGTATATGATTATGGGTCAAGTTGCACAACGTTTGTGGGGCCATTAAAAACTGGTTCAGAGAGAGTAGAATGTACAAACAGTTATGATATTTACCTTAATGACGTAGATGTCGTTCTCAACGCAGAATGCTTGAAGTAATACTTCTTGCATGTGCGTTGCACTATCACCAGGCGGCGCCTCTGCTGTCACACAGAAGAGGGCCCGGTTGCTGTTTTTTGACAGGTACTGGATGGCAGGGAGGAGGCCGACTGTAAGCCGTTTCTCCACACAAGCGCGTCGCAGCACCGTCTTGATGCTTTGACTTATTGGGCTGTGAATAGAAGAACACATTGTTAGACACTTGAACTTAGACAACAAAATATTTTCGCGATTATTTTTTGATATTTCCTCGATTTCTGAATTATTCACTGTTTTTTTTCTATCCATCTACTTCTAAATGTAATTTGAACACAAATTGTTGACTGTACTTGGAGCACGATATATTTAAAGTTTCTCGAAAATCTAACTGTTTCGAAATGGGATTTGAATGTTAAATTGCACAATAATTACCTTTTGGCAGCCATGCCACTGAACGTTTCAGCTTTAACTGGAACAACTGAATCCTTGTACATTATGCTGGACAGCTTGATGCTCTTCAACTCGAATTGATCACTGATAGTAAACACTGTGCGCTCCTTGTCAGGAATGATCACAAACACTTCACTCAATAACTCCAGATAATCCGTATTATGCAATCCAAAATAGTTCACAAACTGTTGATTGAACTTGCCGAACTTTATGTCACAATGATTTCACAACTTTGCTAGTCAAACTTGCGTGGTGTCGCTCTGAATGCTCAGTGCAGAATGTGCCGTTGTGACGTACCGGGGCCTTTTTATAGAGGTTACCACGCATGCGCACTATTTTGCCAGTGTGCGTGAAGCGCTCAACCGATATCGACGCTGATTCTTCGAAATTCGCTAGTAATTTTCTTAGTGTGTGTAGTTTGTTCGAGTATTGTGTTCATATAGGCGTGTGTTTACAAGTGGTGAGTAGTGTGCGTGAGGTCGTACTCTGTACAAACTTGTGGCTGGCGAGTCGCAACGTGTTCGTTAATGTACCAGGTAGCGTGAGCTGCACCGCCCCCCGCATTGTGTGAGTAGTGGGCGCCGGAGGGGTGATTCTGCGGATATCAAAGACTCGTTAAAAATTGATGTTATCAGTAGCAAAATGTTTGTGTGCGAGCGTTTTATCCGCTCTTGTTCGGAATTCCCAATGGCTTGGGTTTATTTGCTGGAGGAAACGCTACTTGATTGCGTTCGTTTCGTGTAATTTGGGTTTGTGCTTGCGGATACTGAAATTTCACGGCGTTTGTCGGTCAGTCCCTGTGGAATCCGGGTCTTGTAGTAACTAATTATACCTGCACTAACTATCATCGTATGTAGTTGTCAACATACACTACTATACTCCAATTATCTTATCTGAAAGATAGCGAGTTTTCTATTGCTGATAATTGGGTTGCTACAAGCGAACAGTCCGATACTTATGCAATGCGCTTAGTTTTATTGAAAATTATTTAACATTTTATACCGTTGAAAGGCAAAGGAATTGAATGTTTTCGGTAGCTATGTTAGTATCATTTTCGCTAAATTCTTTATCTTTTTGCTATAAGTCTGTTCATAATTTGTATTCACAATATTCGCAGTTCCAAATAAATAAAATGAAAGTCCTCATTTCTTCTGTCACATGGTTTTTACGACGCAGATGTCAATCTGGATTTGCGTTTGTTTTTGTTTTTTTTTAGAAAAACAATGTCACGTTTTGTTATGTTCTCATTTCACCAGTTTTTCTTTATCTTGTTTATAAATAGATTATTTATATTTAGAATTGAATTTAGATGTGCAATTTTTCCATGACCAATTAGGTATTTCAAAATAAGAACTTCTGTCTTATTAGCGCGCTTCATTTGATTATGCAATAGAAATTAGTGGTGCACGCGACAAAAAATCTATTTGGAAATTCCGTTCAGTTATAATAATGATTTGTTTTATGTAATATTTGAGGAAATCGATAACACTCGTTAAGTACACAAATCATTAGCGAGCTCGTTAGTAAATTGTCATTTAGATCTAATTACTATCTGTAATAGTTTATTATTTTATGTAAGTATCACGATATCGATGTATGGTAACATTTCTATCTATTAAATTAAAGATATATTGTAAGTGGATATAACTGGTAATATTTTCCTGTTCGCCAGTCTAAATATAGCAAATTAGATTAAAAATTGTAAGAGCTATTTTCAGAAAACAATATTGATAAAGCAATTACTGCTCAGTTGAAAAACCCTATATTAATTCGATTTGATATTGATAAAATATAATCAGCCATGTCTTAATCTCTTTGTTTTGGTCAAATAAGTAGGTAGGTAGTGACACTGAGTCATCGCAGTGGATTCCTTTTCTTTGCTATTCGTGATAATTTTTCAATTGGGGTTTTTCTAAACAAAAATGCTACCTACCAAAACAACAAAAGAATGCAAACTAGGAATGCAGTTGTAAATGCCAAAGGAATCTTTGGAATTTTTAACAAAAGGTACTTACTTACTAATCGTAACTTTGAGAACCCCTAATTCTTGTTTGGTCCACCAACACAGGTAACTACCTAATTTGTTTTTATTTTAAATGCAATTGCATATTATTTATTTCGATATTTCTTCTTTTTAATAAATTAAAAAGCATCGCAACTTCGTCAAAAAATAAGCATCGAGTTTACGTATGTTATTTTCTTTAAATTAAAAATCGAAATCCATTCGATTGAACTCGATTATTTCTACCTACGTCTTAAATTCAATCAAGAGATATTAAAAGGGTGTTAAACTTTCAGTGTCACACGTTCATTGGCAGGCCGGTCAGTGTACCATTTATAATTAATGACATGTGTCAAAACTTGCCGCCAAAATCGACATTATTATTGTCTATTATTTTTGCACTCATTTGCGTACGAGTTCATTTCGTCATAAACTACCTAGTTGTTTTTTTCCTGATTAGCGTGCTCATAGCAACTGACCTATTTATCAACAAAAAGTTTTATTTCAAATACGAATAACGATAATATAAAAATATGAAATCTTCATGTCATGTATTGTGTAATCACGCGCGAACGTTGACCTCTTGTCTTTGAACGATCTTTGTAATCTGCGTACTGTGGGCAATGTCACAAGATTCTCGCATGTGCTCCGATGTTTGGATTATTAACTTATCTCTTTAATAAACTCTATTTACTTAGCGATAGGGAATTTATGATACCAAATATACTACATTTATTACTGTGAAGTAAAATCGGTTGTATATTTGAGGTTATCTTTGGCAAACATCGGAAAATTGGCGCGTAAATACCATAAATAATGAATTGATATTTTTTATATGTTTGCGTTTGTTGCATAGTTTTAAATTCTGTGTTTATGGTTTGAATGTTAGGGCAAACCCAATAATAAAAATAACTTTAAAAACAGTCGTGTAATGATTGACTGCCTGTTATATTCGTTGCTATCGCAATAATTGTTTTGTAAGTTACGAGTGAACAGCATCATTGTTTCAAGTTGTTTGTGGTTTCATTGTTATATCCTTTTAGGTCGTCAATAATATGTAATACTGGATTGTTATTACATTACTGTTGATACAAATAAAGTTACTTACTGAAAAACGTGCAGAAACAAAGCAGTATTCCAATATTTAGGTATCCTCTTTCTTACTTATGTGTCAAAGACAATGTTTAAGTATCGAAACGAACTCTGAGTGAGAACGATAATGACATAACTTTTATACAGAAAATATATTTTCTGGTATAGGGATAAGGTCTGTGGGCCGTTGACGTCACTTGCATGTCTATGGTATTGCCATTCTGATTATGTAAAATAAATAATCTGTTTATGCTGTGTATTGGTTGCGAGGTAGGTATGAATGACATAAAGTTAGGTAATTCAAATTATCTTTACTTATTTTTATATTATAACGTCAAATGAAACTGCTGTATCGAATTTATGAACAATTCTTTTCTTTGATAGGCTTCTATCGAGGAAGGCCTGTGTATAAAACTGGGAAGTTAGCGCCCAACTTAACGGACAGGAGAATTAATTTGATATTTACCGCTCAAAAAAAAAAACGGGCAGCGGCTGAAACCGCGTTATGTAGTTGTTTTCCTGTCTAACACTGAATGTATCTGAATAATATTTTGATGTGATTGGTTCTAAATAATAAATATGACAACGTCATGTTGCAAAACAAACGTGATTAATACTTACTTTACAAATTAAATAAAAAACAAAATAATTCGTTAAAAAAAATTGGCACCAATTATAATATTATTACGACCTCTTTAATTGCGACCTCTAAGGTTATTGCAATAATATTTTTGTTTATTCAAAGTTTATAATTAAGTACAAATACTGTCTACTTATTTCTTGTGAAAAGTGTACAAACAGGCGAAAAACCCAGCAGTGTAGGTGTCGGTCGGCTTGGCCGATAATAATATTACATTACAAAGTACAATATAAACACATTAATGACTTGTGTTCTGTGTTTACATTGATATTATGCACGTGGCGATATTGACTTCAATTTTTATGATGGACTGTCAGACTCTTACTGACTAAAAACCATCCCGGTCGCGTTTCTTCTCGTGCCACAGCTACTTCCCGCACCTTGGACTTGACCAAGTCCCTAGTGAGCACTATTTGTGATGGTGGTTATACTATAACAAAAATATCAGTTTTACATAAGAGCCAAACATTGAGCTACCCTTGCACTCAATAAAACAGCATTTCTTCTATAACCCAATAAAGGTTGGGCCACACCTACAGGAAATGCCATTAATTATCGCGATAATAGACGTTAATCTTAGATGTAATTTGATCACTAAACAAATGAGTAAAGGTATATTTTTTTATTGTTTAATATCATCATATATCGCGATAATTAATGGCTATTCCCGTTAGTGTGGCCCAAGCATTAAACCAAGATCCACCTTAATTAACCCAAGGTTCGCAAGAGATCTTCTTTTTTCTGAGCCGTAGCACTCATATTGTCCTTAGCCGGGGTCGCGGTTTCGGGACCAGAACCAGACCCGAGCGTACGGCGCGTAGCGTTCCGCGCGCGCCTCAAAGAGCCAATAGACTACCACAGACGGGGCCCTATAGGACTGATGTTCAGCCGGGGTTGCGGGGTAAGCGCAATGAGTCACCGCGGCCTCGGCCCAGGGCAGGAGAAGGAACGGGGTGTTTATGTCAGTAAGAGTCTGACACACTCTCTCGCCCTTCCCTGGGAAAGAGAAGTAATTTTGATGATTTTACCTCATGAAAAAAAAATTGTTCTAACAACTAACTTTTTGTAATATACTTCCGAAACAAATACAAAAGTTACGAGTAGTAGCCATGTTGTTAACATTTTCATTTCAACCCCTTGTTACATCAACGTTGTAAACATTCCCAGTTTTCTTACCTAACCTTCGTAGACTGTTCCTTCTAGATCCACTCAGAACTTTAATGTGATTATATCTTCAATACTATTTAGAAATTTCTAGTAAACAACCGTTGGTTATAATCCTGTTATACGTTGTAAACTAACGTTTAATCCGTTTTGTCTTCCTACCATAATAACCTTACACATTATGGATCATTTAAATGTTTTTTTTAATGGTATTAACATTATTATTATTATTACTTCGATGTCTGAACAAGCAAATATTTTTTTTTTATCTTCATAAAAACATTGCCCTACATTAGGATTTCCTCCTGTGTCGTGGGTGCGTTTACAAACATACAATTTCATGCACATCACACCCAGACCCGGAACAACGATCTTCGGATCACACAAACAGTTGTTCCGTGCGGGAATCGAACCCGCGACACGTTGCGCAGCAGCTAGTTGCCCAGCCACCGCGCCAACCGTGCAGTCTACTGGCTCTTGTTTAATGCTAGCCGGGGTTGGTGGGCTTAGCGCAATAATCTAGGTAGCAAGGCCTCATTCTGGAACAGGAGTAGGATCGGGGTGGTTTTTAACCAGGGGGTGGTTTTTATCCAGTAAGAGTCTGACAGTACCTTTCACATCCTGGCGTGGGCAAAAAAGGTTTACTTGAACTATTCTGTCTATATAATGGACAGTAAAAGTGTTCAAACGTTTTATTAAAAGCAACACGTACTTACATACTGTAAGTGTGGGTGAGCCATGCTTCGGCACGAAAGGGTCGACTCGACCGGAGCGAACACGGCCTCAAAGAAAACCGGCGTGAAGTGAACAGAGCGTTGTGTTATGTTGTGTGTACCGGAAACCTCCAATCTCTTCTCCCAAACCTAAAATCTCCAAATATCAAATCCCCAAAGGTCGGCAACGCACTCGTAACCTTGTTGCAGGTGTCTATGGGTCGTGTTGATTTCTTACCATCAGCGAATCTGTCTGCTCGTTTGCCGGTTAAAACTGGTTCATAAGATACTATAGGCAGTTTTTTTTATGTAATAGGTCGTCAAAAGAGCAGACGGATTACCTGATGGTAAGCAATCAGCGCCGCCCATGGACACTCGTAACGGAGGAGTTACGAGTGCATTGTCGACCTTTTAGGGATTAGGGATTTGGAGATTTAGGGATTGAGGAGGGATTGGGGGAGGGGAAGGATTGGGCCTCCGGTAACCTCACTCACATGGCGAAACACAACGCTGTGGTTATTTCACGCCGGTTTTTTGTGAGGCCGTGGTATCACTCCGGTCGAGCCGACCCATTCGTGCCGAAGCATGGCTCTCCCACACTTAGACAGACAGTTGAAGGAACAGTATTGTAATTCACTTTCAGTATCATCTCATTAGTATCAAGATTTCTATCTCCAATAATGAGCATCGAATACTAAGAAACAGATATAAATGTCAATGTAAATAAACAACTCGATTACATAGTATTTACTTCTAGTGAGTATTCGTTACAGGCCGGCAAATATGTATATTACACGCTGGGTAAACATGGTCCAATCGAATCAACAATAACAACAAAAATTACTTATGTAAACTCATAGAAATGCGTTGTATAAGAACATAATTTAAAGGCGATATCGCTAACTGTATTCGCAAGGAAACAACCCTTGAATTAGAATTGTACTGGTTATGTGACATTGTATAAGATGTTGTTGTGATTATGGACAATGTTTGCCGCACTGGAATTTGGACTTCATAAACAATGAATATAGGAATGAATTTTGAAAATCATCGTTATCATCGTCGGCCTATAAGTGTCCACTGCTGAGCAAAGGCCTCTTCACACACAAAAGGCATTACTGATCACGCTTGGTTAAAGAGGAATAGTGATTTCATACCTTTTCTTTCTGTTTGCCAGTGGTCTAGATACACTTAGAAAGTACATACAACTTTAGGTATCGTACCCGCAGTCTCATGGATGAGAAGGGGCAGAACCTGAACCAACGAGCCACCACGATACGGCCTTTCATCTTACAAAATCCGACGTGATACCACGGCCTCACTGAAAACCGGCGTGGAACAACCACAGCGTTGTGTTTCGCTGTGTGAGTCAGTTTGCCAGAGACCCAATCCTTCTTTTCCTCCCCTAATACCGAAATCTCCAAAACCCTAATCCTCAAAAGGTCTACAATGCATCCGTAACTCCTCTGGAGTTGGCTGTCCATAGGTAGCGTCGATTACTTCCCATCAAATAATTCTTCAACTCGTTGGCCATCCAATCATATGTATAGAAAAACCTTCCCAAATTTGCCAATTCCATAATCAAGTCAGTCATGCACCTTTGTGATAAACAAAGTAAATCCAGCTGTTTAACTGCGACTTACTGTGATCTGGCCATTGACTCCGTAGGACGATAAGCCAGCAAGCGCATGGGACCTTTGACCTTTATCGATCGCTTCCCTGCCTCGTGGAACAGGGTCAAGGATACCACACAGACCGCTAATCGCACATGTTTCGACAAATTCTGTCAAACTATAACAATTATTACTGGCTAGATTTTTATTGTTCGTGGAACAGAGTGATTCAGTTTCTGACTAGTTCAAAAGTTTACGTGTTGCGTTGCGTGTTTATATTAAATTTTAATCGTTTTGGATTATCAGAAGTTATTAACTTAAGTACTACTTATTATGTATGTAAATAGGTTGCCGATTTTGACTAATAAAGGATAGAACATTAAAAGCTCTTTACTTTATAAGTATGACATTTGACGCCATAAGTTTTTGTGTTTTGTTTCAATCTTTTTTTAAAAGAGCTTATTTACATTAGCAAATATGACGCTCCGTACACAGAGCAAAAATAATTATACTATTCTTTAAAAAAATCAAGCTTCCAGAAGAACAGAAGCCAGTCTTTCAATCACCAGTCAACACCTATCCATTATACAGATGACTTTGAATTCCGATAGATTTTTCATGGTAAATAAATCTGTTGAGAAGAGCTCAAGAAATGGCAAACAGCATTAAAAAATACAACTTTTCTTGTAGAAAAAAGTGTACAGACAAATACAGGTAAACGACCACTGAAAAACATTTTTAAATTAGTCCCACATAACTTAAATATAGTAATGTAATTCACCTATTTACTTAGTAGAAAGAAGATAAGAATGTTATTGACAGATTTCGATCGCCCACGCCAGCCATAATGGACCTTTGACATTATCCTCTGAACCACAGATAAAATATATCGGTTGGAAAGAAATTATGTAACTGTCTTTGACTTGCACCTTCAGAACTGAATGCTGTAATCATTTGAAGTTGAATGAATGAAGGAATTATGTAACTAGAGCTTACCATTGAAATTGCTTCAGTGCTTAGGGAGAGATTTATTAAAGTTATTTTTTTGTTGTCTAAACAGATGAATTCTATTGTGTGTCCTCGGAAGCCAATGTATTTTTTTCTTTCTGTAAAAATGAAATAAGGAAGAACTAGAATGTTTATCTATACTAATATTATAAAGAGGTAAAATTTGTAAGTTTGTATGTAGAGGGTAATCTTTGGAACCGCTAGTCGGATTACCAAAATTCTTTCACTGAAAGATAGCTACGATGTTCCTGAGTGCTATGGGCTGTAAAACATCACGCTACGATAAAATGGAGCCGAGCAGCGGGTGAAACTGCGTGATAGTAGCTAGTAACAAAATAAAAAGTGCAAACGATTCGTCGATTCAACCGGAGGGATACCATGGCCTCAGAGAAAATCAGCGTGAAACAAACACAGGGGTATATTTCGCCGTGTGAGTGAGATTACCCTAGTCCCAATCCTTAGCACCCCATCCCTATTCTTAAAGTCAAAATCATTTATTTCAATAATAGAACGTTATAGGCACTTTTGAACGTCAAACAATGATTTAAAGTCAGTCACTCAGTCCTCTTAGTCAAGCTATTTGTCCAAAACCATTATCCCCAAAAAGTCGAAAGATCCAGTGTCCGTGGGCGACGCTGGTTGCTTACCGTCAGGTAATCCGTCAACTCGTTTGCCGTCGTATCACATAAAACAAAAGCATTAAGAAAAATCTAGTTCAAGTATTGTTTTTGTTATTGTTTTGTCCACAAATAACGTAGTTAAGATTTATTATCAGCTGTGATTTGTGTCGATAGCATTCTTCAATAGATTCGTATCTTTTAACCTCATTTTTTTTATGTAATAAGTCGGCAAACTAGCAGACGGATTACCTGATGGTAAGCAATCAACGCCGCCCATGGACACCCGCAACGGAGGAGTTACGAGTGCGTTGCCGACCTTTTAGGGATTTGGAGATTTAGGGATTGGGGAAGGGTCCGGGAAGGGGAAGGATTGGGCCTCCGGTAACCTCACTCACACGGCGAAACACAACGCTGTGGTTGTTTCACGCCGGTTTTCTGTAAGGCCGTGGTATCACTCCGGTCGAGCCGACCCATTCGTGCCGAAGCATGGCTCTCCCACTTACCCACTTACCTACCTTCTTTTGTTTATTTTCATAGACCTTACTTAGACTGCGTTTTGAATGTTTACTAGTTATGTTCTATCGTTTCTCTAGCTTCCGGCCGCGTCTTCGCACACGTATAAAAGTAATGTATACCGGGATTTTAGAACCAGCCGCGTTTAAAACGATATCTCGACTAAAATACGCAAATAAAGTATAATTTATAACGAATCATCAGTTCATTTATATGTATCAGTGAAAAAATTTTGAAAATCCGTCCGTTCCAAAGACTACACTGCATACAAACTTACAAATTTTACTTTTTTATAATGTAAGTATAGATTAAATTGGACCTCTTGCTATATGTATGTCGGCGACTTCGCCCCTGTAAATAAAGCCATACAATTATTTCGATAAAGTTCCGACCAAGCAGGAGTTTTGGAATAAAAAGTAGCTTATGATAAAGTTATTTTCATTTCAGTCTGTAGTTTCTAAGCTAATTAAATCATATGATCAAACTTTTTACCTGTCTTTGATTCATTCGTCGTAAAAAACAATAAATTTTATTTAAAATAGGAACAATGGAATGCGTAATTTTCAAATGTGGAAATAACAAAATAATATAGGTTTTACCGCAAAATGCAATACATTTATGTGACCGTTTACGGAAATATCAGAATTTAAATTAATTTATAATTGTAAAACATTGTAAGATATTTATCTAACTGAAAGTTGTTTGTGACGACATGTAGAAGTAAACAGTTCCTAGTATTCAACTGAATACATGTTCTGTATCTCTTTGTCAAATTAAAAAGATTGATCATTTCTCAGTAGGTAAGCTTATCGCAAAACCACAATATAACAAGATGAATGTATACCTAGGTATATTTTTTATGATAGCTAATGTAATTTTGTCTGCAATTCTGTTAGTATACTAAAATACCATCTACCTTAAACTCAATTTTAGGAGTTTTAGTCTTAATGTAAATTTGAAGTGTGGGATAGCCATGCTCCAAGGTCGAATGTCCATTATATATCAAGATAGATCCACCTTGATACCTAGGTATAGTTTTATGGCAGCCATTTTACTTTAGTCTGCGATTCTGTCAGCTGAGTAAAATACCATCTTAATTAAACACAGTTTTGCTCTGAATGTACCTCCCCATATGTTTAAATTTATAGCCATGCTCAAAGGTCCAATGGGTCGGTTCGTCCAACCGAACTCCAACCGACATCATGAAATCAGTAATTCAGTAGTTTGTTTATTATGAAACAATGTTTTTTTTCAATTAGGCCTTTATTGCCTATTTGCAAATATAAATTCACTTTAACATGTCAAATTATATGTAAAAAACATTTGCTATCCGACTACTCTGAGAAGAAATGCCGAAACAAACTCAGAGGTCAGTCTCTTTTCAAGTCCAGACAATGAAAATATTATTGAATGTAAGAAAACCGCGCAAGTTCATTCTGTAGTGGTCTTTTGAGGAAAGAACCACACCAGTTTAAGTGGACCCGTTCTAAAGACAGGCACGCAAGTGTCAGTTTGTATTTTATTATCTATCCTTCACTCGGTTACAAAAAATATTGATTCGAGAAATATTAACATTAGTATAAAGAACAAGCATGTCAACACCAACTTTCTTAGAAAACCTTCTTTTGTTTTTATACTTCCAGCAATATTTCTATATCCTTTGTTTATCAAAATATTACTAGCATAACTCTATACTAATATTATAAAGAAATAAAATTTGTAAGTTTGTATGTAGGAGGTAATCTTTGGAACCGCTGGTTGGATTGCCAAAATTCTTGCACTGATAGATAGCTACAATGTTCCTGAGTGCTATAGACGCTACGATCAAATGGAGCCGAACAGCGGATGAAACCGCGCGAGAGTAGCTAGTATAGCATAAATATATGAATGTTATTATACATATAAGCATTGCCCTTCAACCACTCTATCTTTTAAAAAATCCACATCAAAATCTGTTGCGTAGTTTTAAATATTTAAGCATACATAGGAATAAAGGGACAGAGAAAGCGTCTTTGTTTTATGCTCTGTAGTGATTCAAAAGGTAGAACATCTATCAAATCGAAACCGAGGTCTTAGACATTTCTAGAAAAAACTCAAAATCAAAATATATTAAAATGCAAACAGGCAGGATATTAAGAACTGACCTTTGAATAAATATATGTAACTAGAATTCTCTGAAAAGATTTCAATGCGTAATTAGGTCAAGATTTTTCCTTCAAACATTTACAGGAAAGATGTCCGTTGCTCTGCAGTTCGACCTCCTTAAATCTGTCCTGTTAAGACTTTATTTGATTTGTGACTTTATTAGAAAGCTATATAGTTTAATATCCAATAAAGAGATTTGACTGGAGGAGGTATACGAATGAAAACAATAACAAACTCTACGCTTGTACTGTTTACAAACTAACGCGTGCTTTCCAATGTTCTGAACCTATGACCCGAACACTGACACATAAATAAAGCCGTAGTATCGTGTATAATCTATCTATATCTATACCTATACTTATAATAATTCTGTAGAGAGGTCAATTCTGTACCTTAAATATATTTTCAAAATAACTACCAGGGGGTGATCGATGCTGATGCCAAAAATGCAATCATTAAAATTTTTGTCTGTATGTTCCTTATAGAAACAAAAACTACTTGACGGATTTTAACAAAACTTACTTGCTGGGGGGACGAGAAGGTCTGAAATGGAGTCTCTTGCCTCTCCTGGTGCAAACCCTCAGAACTCTGCTCGGCATATGCATATTTTTAGATGGATTTTTTGATGGTTTGGTCGAGGAGTGTCTCTAACGATATTAATACGATCAGCAAAATATTAGCACTTGATATAGCTTCCTACAAGTGGGCGCTACAATATTATTGCCAGGGGTGTCAGTGTCACTGTCACTACTAAAATGACGGAAAAAGAAAAAAATAAATCATTTATATGCTCCTAGTATTTTGTGATAAAATCAGTTTATTGCGGCTCCTCTAAAGTTATTAAAAACCCATAGCGATTGTTGAAGGCGCAGCGACGATAATCGATATGTGAGCGCATTAATGTCGAGATATTGATCCCGTCATTTGTTTTTAAACGCCTTGCTCACTGCATTGTTGACTTTCCAACATATCATTGGACACGTTCTTTCTTGAAGCATACCTAATAGTTAATAGGTACTAATTTGGATTTGCATTCGTTGTAAAGCCTAGAGAAGATAAGACAAAAATGTTTAGGTAAATCGAACGAAAACGGAAAGTCCATAATTTAATGACTGTCGAAATTTTGACGACATAATATCATAAAACACGCTGCATTCCATAGAAAAACTTTGGCGCCTTTTTTATGGTTGGTAATCATCAAATGACTTCTTACGCTCTAAGTGGGATGAGACGAAGAGTCAGACTCTTACCGAGTTCCAGTTCCTTCTCCTGTTCCTTCCCCCATCCATAATTTACGACGCGACTTTGTATACAATTTTCTTCGAACTCTCAGCATGCTAATTGATCGTGGCTATCAGTCAGTTGTTTGTGATAACAAAAGCATGTAGAGACATATTGTACATAATTGCAGTAATAAAGATAAAATATTCTTTAACGATAACAAGGAAAATGTTTTAATACCTAATCAGGTCTAAGTTGATGTGATGATGACCAAAGGTCTTACTTTTGTTCGAAACGTTATTGCTCTATCTATTTTTGTCAAATCGAACTTTGTATGTGTTTATAAATAAACCTTTTCGTTTTTGTTTCGCGAACTATAATAATAATTAAATTAATCTTATACCTTTATATGAACAAGTCTCGTATGATTCACTGGATCTCGGAAACTGCTTTAACGATTTCGATGAAAATTTGTATGTAAAGGGTTTTGGAGACGAATACCATAATAATAGAAGAGATTAATTTTCAGAATAAGAAAACCGATCAAATTTCGGCCATTCAGCATATTATTATGGTAACAATATTTTTTAGGGTTAAAAATCAACAATTTTGTAAGACTTGCTGACCAAGATCCACCTCGTTCATTTAGAGTAGCCCCATACAATATTTTCGTACCATCGACCTGGTCTGATGATGGAATATGAATCTTCCGATGATCTTGACTTAAGGCCTTGGACTGCCTTCTAGTTCCTAAACATTTACGGCCTTATTACATAACAAGGTTTTACTTTAGTCTAGGACTAAACCATTGAGCCAATTTTCATATTTCGAATTGAAGGTCGATGACAATAAGATTCAAAATTCAAAACCCGACTCAATGGTTTAAACCTGGACTAAAGATAAACCTTGTTTTGTAATAATGGGGTTACAGTTTGAACTCGTTAGACAGGTATACTTCTCCTGATGACGAGAATATACATAAAATATGATCAAAAGCGTCTTTTTAGTCTTTTAATTAAGCTCAATAAGTGATTTTAGTCATGAGATTCATTTAATGATTTCTCTATTCAAATAAAACATTCAAATGTTTTGTGATTGTGTTGTATCTGAAGCATGAGCACATGTTAATATCGCACTACACTAAGTCCTTCAAGTTCCTATTATAGTTGAGACAGCTCATAAACATCTAATTATAACCACAGCAACCATCAAAGATACTTAAGGACATAAATATAAAATGTATAACACTAGTACTTCCCCGTGGCAAGTTCCCCAATGAAGGGCCGCAGTAAACGTTATCGATGCGAAAATAAATAAACTTTGCGATGCGAGGAGTGCAGGAAAAATTGCGTCAGTCTCGTGCGGACAAAAGGAGATCAGGTCCTGTATTGTTATCTAAATCCCTATAAACAATTCTTGAACATTTATGATTCATTGCTGGCGTCCCCTGTAATGTATGCCAAACATTTTATCCATCCACATCACGACACACCTCTTTTATCTTATCAGATAAAGCGATACAATCTAAACTACACTCTGGCCTGTTCAGTCTAAAGTTGAGATCATTTTGATCGTGCATTTAACCAAAACTACGC